CATTAAAGGGGGTGTTCCGTAAAAAAGGTCAAGGGGTGTATGCATGTCTGTATGTGTGTATAGATGTATGTATATGTGTATGTGCGTACGTATGTCTGATGTGTATATGTATGTATGTTTGTGTGGCTGCCGTTCGCTGCGCTCACAACTACCATTGCCGTTTGAAAATGCCAATGCTGTCTTCAACCAGTCCGCCAGCACATTGTTTGAACAGTGTGCAGCCCAGCTTCGTTCCAATTGCTCCCGCAAGGTTTGCAAGAAAGTGGACATGTGCTTTCCAACAATCTTCGTTTTCGCCAACCCCCTAACAAAAATAAGAGGGTTTTGGGGTATTGGAAAACCCTCTTATTTTTTAAGAGGGTTTTTCGACCTTCTTATTTTTTAAGAGGGTTCTTAAATAAATATGAGGGTTTCTTATTTTTAGGAGGGTCGGAGGGGCTGGGTGCGTACCGGGGCAGACAATGAAGAAGTACCGGCGCCGAGCCCTGAGACGAAGCCCAAATATTTGCCAGACAGCGCTTTCTCGAACTGGCTCCACCCCAGGATTTCCTCTTGGATCAGCTGGGCAAAACGGCGCAACGAGATGCTCCACAGAGGGATGATTATACATTTTTCCGCCTTGCTTCGGAGGTTCGGTATGCTCGCAAACTTTTGGAACAGCCAGCTGACAACTGGTCCCTCCACGAACAAATTGGCGAGGACTATGGCAATGTCGTCCGCGAGTGCTCGGACCAACGACTTCCCGCTCAGCTGGGACGACATCGCACGCAGGAGCGGGTCGAGGGCGATGATAAATAGAGTGGGGCTGAGAGGGCAACCCTGCTTCACTCCTGAAGTTATTTCGAACACGAGGGATACCGTGCCGCCGAATCTCCAGAAATGGCGGTTACGAACGTACAGCTGCTGGATTGCCTGTGTGATTTTGGCGGGCACTCCGATGATCTCCAACACCATCAAAAGATAACATAAAGACAAGCTCGGGAAGCCGGCCCCGAAATCGTTCAATAAGCACGCCGGGGTATTTGTAGCCGGCCACGTTGGTGGATCGGCGGCGTCGGCAATGTCACAGGAGAAAGCGGCTGTGGCCATGTGCGTTTCGACCTTCAGCACGTTATTCAACATCTGCCGCCCCTGGATAAATCCACGCTGAGCGTTCGCCGCCCACTGCCTGACTGCAGGCCCAAGCAAGTGGTTCACGGCTGAGGCGATACTATTGACGTTTGTGTTGCCCAAGGAGAGAGGGCATGTGTCCTGGAGAGGCCTGAAACCAGGGAGACCCGTGGCAGAATCAAGTCCCTTCGCTAGAAGTGCCAACCACGAATGGTGAGCTTCCTCTGGGAGGGGCGACCCGGCGAGCCAGTCGCCCATGGCATTGAAGAGAAATCGTTGGCACCACTCCGGAGCGCACTTCCGCGCGAAGTAGGGAATGCCGTCTGGGCCGGGAGCAGAGTCCACCAGTCCACGGAGCACACGCGAAAAATGTGAAAAACTGATGTCCCACTGGATGTTCGGGAAGGCGACGGCGTGTTCTTCGAGAAACCGGCGGGCGGCGATCTCATCGACAGGCTGCGCGGTAAACGTGGGACCCCAATGACTCGATACAGCTGCATGCCCGCGGGCGGCGTCCGTGATAGGGAGGCCGTCGGTATCCAGAAGGCCGTGCAAGCCAGTTCGGCGCCGTCTCGGGGAGAATTGCGCGACCCAAGAGAGTATGCCTACACGATTCCGGATCTTGTGGTAGTCAGGCAGAACACTGCACTCTTCTAGCTCGCGCAATCGGTCCTCGGCGGTCTTCTGGCTGAAGCTCCGGACGAGAACCTCGATGCTGGTGAATTTTTCGGGGTTCCAATCCTGCGGGCACCAGCTGCCCAGGATGTCCTGGACCTCAGAACAGACAGAAGCAGCAATCAGCGCCTGCTTGGTGTTGCCGCTGTGGGCGGCCCGTAAGAATTTCAGGCACCACGTGCCCCGGCGAATCTCATGTTTGCGGACGACGTGCTCTTATTAGCCCAAAGCAAAGCGGACGTGGTCAATATGTTGAAACCTCAGAAACGAAGCAGCAACGTACGGTCTAGCCGTGCACCTTGGGAACAAAAACCGCTTAACACATTCAAATACGAATATGGCAGATGTATTTCGTTGTCTGGACACGACTTCGAGATCTTGAGCCCAGAAGAATATGAAAAATATGTGGGGAGATAGTTACCGTTACCCTTGGGCCATTACCGCGAGCACGAGTTCACGAATCGATTGGCACAGGGGTGCAAATCTTTTGCGAACTTCAGAAAAATCGCGTTCGAGAGCGTATCCTCTACGGCAACGACTGCGACTGTTTGACAGCGTGGAGAAATATGCTACGCAGCATGTTCCGCGTAGCGAGAAGTGATGATGGAAATAAAGTTCGGTAGATGTAAGACGTGCATATTTACGAGTCGATGGGTATTGCAGCAACTATAACACCAAACGTGTGGGCAGACTTCACGAGGAACAAATGGCACGATGCTGCACGACTCTTTCTGGACACCGAACAAAAATTGAACAACATATCATTCGATTGGCAGCCTTGGTTCAGAACTGTAGCCAAACGATACGTCGGCTGACCCAGTTCGACATAGGGCGACGCCTTCCGTAGGTGATGAGCCATTGGTTTCTCCGATCCACTGAATGTAGAATTAGTCCACAACGTGTTGCTGGTTACCCCCTTCTCCTCTTCTCCTCATCCTCCTCCACCTCCTCCCCCCCTTGCCCTTCTTAAATGGAAGGGTTTCTCTGACTGAATATACTTGCCAAGAAATTTGTTAACCGCATTTTCCCGCGTGTTCCCGTTGCTTGCACACCAGAAAACTTGTTAACTGCGACTTCCGACATGCTCAGCGCACGGTCTTCCCTCTAGGTTTTAGGGCCTAGGGGACCGCTCCGGTTACCGGAACAGGAACGTCCATGCCATTCCCCCACACGTTTCGTGGCCCCACACGGGGTTCCACCGACGGCCCAAATGGTGCCGCCCGCACGCGCCCCCGCTTCCCATCCTGGTACACCCCTCACACGTTTCGTGGCGCCGTAAGGAGCTTCACCGAAAGCCCATATGGTGTCGCCCGAGCGCGCCCCCGCAACACATGCCGGCACACCCCTCACATTTTTCGTGACTCCATAAGGAGTTTCACCCAAGGCCCACATGGTGCCGGCCGCGTGCATCCCCGCCACCGATTTCGGCACACCTCTCACACGCTTCGTGGCATCATAAGGAGTGTCACCAAGGCCCCACGTGGTGCCGCCAACATGCATCCCCGCCACCCATGTCGGCACATCCCTCACACGTCTCGTGGCCCAATCGGGAGTTCCACCCCAGGCCCTACGTGGTGCCGCCAACATGCATCCCCGCCACCGATTACGGCACACCCTTCGCGCGTTTCGTGGCCACGCGAGGAGCTTCCAGAACCCAAATGGCGCCGCCCGAACGCGTCCCGCAACCCATTTCGGCACACCCTATCAATCGGTTCGTGGCCCCATGGGAAGCTCCACGCAAAGCCCCACGTGGTGTCCCCACATGCGTCCTCGTATCCACCCTTTACCCTTCTCCTCCTCCTCCGGCGCCCATTCCATGTCCTCCCTCCCCTCTCTTCCATCCTACCTGCTCTTCCCCCCGCGTCCTCCCTCTTCACTCCCCCCTTTTCGAACGCATCAGAACTGCACTTCGCTGCCGGGTCCAAGGGTGGCAATCATACTTTAATTTGGCGCGACGGTCGGTCTGGGTGGACGGACGCCGCGTCACGACTTACGATGGAAGGCGATGGTCGCGCCGACGACGACGCGTGCCAAGCGCGGGAGCGATCGCCGCGTTTTACGGCGACGCTTGGCGATAGCCGCAAGAAAAAACAGAACACGAGCAACCGTTTCACCCTCGGACGGGAAATCCGGTACGAAGAAGATCTCGAAAGCGCGGGGATCGGATCGCGGATTTGCTGTTGGGGCACAGGCGGGGGGGGGGAAGCGGGCTGCGCGAATCGAGGCCCCCAGGTATACGGCTGGCTTCGCTGAGCCAGGGGATGCGGGATGTCAGCGGGAAGCGGCCCAGGGGGCGGGGCCTCGGCGATGGGCAGCGCGGGCAGCCGACGCTTCGCGAGAAGGGGACACGCACAGAACGGCACTTAGCGGCCAGGGCGCGTAAGTGTGAACGCGATGGATGTCTCACGCGGGGCGAGCACGTACAGACCGGCACCAAGCGAAAGGGGCGGGGTACAGGTCGGGTGCGTCTTCGCGCCGCGCCCGCAGAATAAGGAAGGCAAGGGCCTCTGAACCCCTCTGCTGGCCTCTGGGCGGAGGTGCCTGAACGTCCCAGGGGCTATCCGAAGGAATTCCAACTGCGGCCTCCGCCCACCCCGCTACCCCTATCAGAGCATCTCGCCTGGTCACTATGTTCCCCATTCCCGCCCGCTGCTTTGCCCTCCCCCTCCCCCGTTCTTCCTCTAGCTGCCGCCCCCCATTTCCTTAAGCGTTTCCCAATTGCAACTGGCCCCTGCGTGGCGGCAAACGCTCGCGCACCCCCGCAGCTGAAAGACTCACGTTGCGCTCATCCTCCAATCCACTCGTGAGGCGCAAGTCTTGGTTCCACACTGACGCTGGCAAACGACGTCGAGGCCCCGGCAAATCCGACAGGCGCGATCGGCCACCTCGAATCGCGGGCGAACCAATACGTAAGACGATGTCGCACAAGTAAGTTTGGAATTTGGGGATCCGCGCAAGAAGCGAATCCACCCGCCCAAAGTGTAGTTTTGTGCCTGTCCGACTCTTCCTCCCTCCTCCTCCCCCTCCTCCCCCCCCCTCCCCCCATCCACCTCCCCCCCCTCGCCCTCCCCCCTCACTGCTTCCGCCACCGACGGGGACGGGACGAAGTCGACGACGACGATGACGACAACGACGAAAACGATAACGGTGGCTGCGGCGGCGACGACGTCGCTTGGCGGGGCGCAGCCCGCACCGTGGGTCGGCGCGCGGGTGGCCTCGCCACCAGCGCCAACGTCCTTCAGGCCCAGTCTGGCCTCCACGGGGGGGGACGCGCTCTGCGCGCGCGAGGCTGCTGCCGCGGCAGGCTCCTCCCTCGCTCCTCGCACTCCTCGCGTTCCTCGCACTCCCGCGCTTCGCTCCCTCCTCACCCCCCCCCTCTAAAAATTTCCATCCCTCGTGCCTGGCTGCACGACATAAGCATATGTGATATGTGATTCACCCGATTATGCGAGCACGGCTTCGCCCATTTCGCTATACTGCAGCGCGCAACATGGGGCTCGTGAGCTTCAGTAGAGGCCTCCTGGATGGGGACAGGGTGGACGGGGTCGGAAGATCGCGCCGCATCGCCGCGCATCGCCGATGCGTCGGCGATGGGTTGGCGACGCATCGGCGACGTCGGCGTGGAGAAAATCGAGCTTCACTTCTAGCCGCACTGCCGGTGCATCGGCGACTCGGCGCGATTCCTCCGACCCCGCCTGGAAGGCTGTGAGATAGAGGGATCATGGACCGCGAAGGAAGCCGAGTCAACCCGCGTCAATCCATGCCTCTTCAGCGTCCTTAAAACAGGGCCAGGATCGGGATAAATCGCTCCAGAGCGTTCCAGAGCGCTCTCAGAGCGTTCAAGAACGCTCTGGAGCGGCCGCCGCGCCCAATACATCCTCCAAACCCGCCGATTCTCAGAGATTTCGAGTTATACCGATCCGATTTTGTCCCGATTTTCGCGTCGTTTTAGTCCTCCTCCCCACAGAGGGGAGGCGCAGAGCCCGCAACCGAGCCCCCGGGCCTCCGCGGCCAGCTCCGGGCGCGCCACGGTCAGCGTCGCCTGCTCGAGCCTGGGGCCGTCGCGGCGGCGGCGGCGGTGGCCGCCGACGCCGACGGCGAGCGGCAGCGCCTGCGGCGGCGGCGGCGGTGGCGACGGCGCGGGCGGCGCGGAGGGCGGCGGAAAAAGCGGCGGGCGGTGGACTCCTAGGACGGGGGGGCGAGAGAGGGCGTCTGCATCTGCTGCTGCTGCTGCTGCTGCTGCCCCTCCCTGCCTCTCCCTTCGCGCCCCCCCCCTCCGCCAGCGTCAGCCTCCTGCTTCTGCTGCTCCTTCCTTATCTCTCCTCCCTCTTCCTCCCTCCTCCTCCTTAGCCTCCTTCCTTCACTTCCGTCCCCTTCTCGCGCCGTCAAAGCCGTGACCCCCCCCTCCTCGTGCATCCTCTGTATCCTTTCCTTCTAGGAGTCTTCCTCCCTGTCGCACCCCCGGGCGTGTCGGTGAGCAGGGCGCTTCGCCTGAGACTTCCCCACCTAATATGACCCTGAAACTTAAGATCGGCAGTCGTTTCACGGATGGAGGGCGGGCCGTTTTCAAAACTTGGCCCCCGCATGAGCACCACGCACATTCGTCTGAACAGTTTGCAGCAGCTTCCAGCATGGAGGGCAGGCAATTTTTAGCATGGGGCCTTCGCTTTAGCGCCGCGCACATTCGTCTTCAAAGTTTGCAGCAACTTCAACGATGGAGGGCGGGCAATTCAAAGAATGAGGTTCGCGCCTCAGCACCGCGCGTATTCCTCGTAAAACATGTGAAACGGTTTCAACGATGCAGGGCGGTACTTTTTCACACTGGGTGTAAAAGGAACTCTTTCCGTCACGACGTCGGCACTGGCCTTCTGGCACCGCGTAAACAGTTCAACCTTCACCCAGGGTCACACCCTTTGATGAACCTGACCCAGGCCCACACCCTGCGGGCGCCGGCCCGCAAAAACTGCAGCCGCAACGCCCCTCGGCATTGTGGGGCGCCCACCAACCTCCGCCATAGAACGCCCGAGCCTGGGCACTTGCATGGGCACGTTAAGATTGGGGGCCCCAAACCGTGTGGTGGCTGACTGTGCGGTGACCTCGAAATCCTCAAGGACCTCACCGAGCGGTCCGTCTCCGCATGGTCTTCTGAACATGTTCTTAGGGTGGAGGCATTAGGGTGAAATCCATATATCGGCTTTTGCACCTCAAATATGAATCCGTCTTGTGGCTGGATGACTTTAGGGGTGAAGCTTGTGTTGTGCAGAAGCCTGTGAATATGCACCGCCTGGCTTCTTCTACGACGTCACGGTTGCGCACGCACGTGATCAGGCACCGCTGATGGCTCGCACCCGGAAATCCTTCAAACTAGGCTTTGCCGCCCAGCCGATGTCACTCGTGGGTTGATCGTGCCTCGACTAACCCACGCTCAACGCATCTGCGGATGGCAGGCGGGCCCGACCTCTTGACGTTGTCTGAACTGTTTTTCAAATGTTTCTGGCGCCCCGTCCCTGATTTTCTGGGTTGTTCGTTATTGATTGGTTGGCTCGCTGGGTAGTTGACCGGCGGATGGAGTGTTGGGCTGGATCGTTGCACGGATGGTTGGTTGGGTGGCTGGCTGATTTTCTGGGCCCCCGAGCACGCGACTGGCGCCAGACAGGTGAACGGGCACGCGACTGGCGCGCGGCAAGTGTACGAGCACGCGACTGGCACCCGACGGGTGAAACATCACGCGACTAGCGCTCGGAAGGTCAGTCCGGAATTATAGAACCGTTTTTGCGTTCTAAAATTCTCTTCGTCGTTGTATAATGTTTTTGGTCGTTCTAGAATCTGTTCTTGCTTGTGCTTTATACTATGCGAGATTCTGGAATTTGGTGTTGCGCTCTAGAACTATTTTGCTGATCTAGAAGTCGCTTTGCGGTTCCAAGATTTCGTTTTGCGCTCTAGAAGTCGTTGTGCTGTTCTCAAACCGCCTCTGGCCGTTTGGCAGGAAACGCATGGGAAAAACGGCGGGGGTCGGGATTCGGAGGCCCATTGCAGGGCGGCGGGGTGGCCCCGAGTGGAGCCCCCGAGCGGGCTTCGGAAGAAAAAAATGCGCACGTTTGCGGGGCCATCGTGGTCCAGCTTGGTGACATGGCGGACAGGGGCCTGGATTGAGAGAGGACGACTCTAATTGAGGTGCTGGCGACGGCGTGGGCGTGGTCAAGGGACGATTGCTCGTGGATCCCAGAAAGGTGATGCGTCGCCTGATGCGATGAGCGCGCGCGGGCGGATGATGTGATGATGCGGGGGTTGGAGGGGGACGGGGGAGAGAGGGAGGCAGAGGAGGGAAAATATCACCCTTGGAGGAGAAGGTGCAAACGGAGGCGGAGGCACTGATGGGGGTGGAGGCGGAAACGGGGGTGCAGAAAGCGGAGAAGGAAAGCACGGGGCAGAGGGGGAGGGGAATTGCTGGGTAGCGATGTCTTGGGAGAAACGGCATTTCAGATTTCACCCATTGCCCTCCACCCAAAGAAATGCTCGGAAGAATCTTGGGACCTCGGAAGCCCCAACCGCCCGTGACATCCTCGGAAGACGACCCGAGTCCCAGATCCGTGCGGACAACCAGGATCCCCACTGACTCACCACACGATGTGGTCACTGCGCTGAGTGTGTAAGAGGCAGGCGGACCTACCTCGCTTCTTGACCACCCTCGCTACCAAACGGGAACCAGACCATACCGAGCTAATCGTGGGGTGGCCCGCAACGGTCAGGCTGCTCGACGAGAATGCGCGTAGTGCGAGCTGGTTTCCCCGCAACCCCCAAAGACTCACCACACCAGCCCTCGGAATGTCTGGCTGTCGGGCCAAAAATCGGGTCTCCAGCGGCCGTTTGAGACGACCTCGGCACCTCTGGAACGCTTTCGGCGAGGCGCAGCTGCTGGGACGCATCCCGTGTAGGAAAACCACCAGGAAGACAACAAACGCTACCGAAAACCCCGAATCCGCACTGACTCGCCACACGGTGTGGTGACCGCGTACCTGGGGGCGTCGCACGGCTGGGCGGAACTTCTTCATGTTCGCGGCCGCGCACTCGAGCGCGTCGCACACCTGGGGCGGGCGCGCCGTCCGGATCACGGCGTGAGGGCCGAGGGCGGATTCTGCACAAGCGCTGACGGCGAGCCCAGGGGCGACGGCAGAGGGGCAGGGCATTCTCCGAAGCGCTGCACAAGCGCTGGCGCGCAGAGGGGCGGGCCTTCTCAGGAGGCTCGGGAGGCCTCTGCCCTGCGGAACAGTGCTCTGCCTCATGCGAAAATGCAGACGGCTTCTCGAGATCGCCAGAGGGCTTCTGAGAAGCCCCGCCGCCCGCTGAGAAGGTCTGCCCCCTCCTTCTTTTTCTGGTTGATCCGCCGAGCTGAAAGAGCAAGAGAGAGAGAATGTATATTCATGTGTATGTGCGTTAACACACATATGCATATATAATGCATGTATAGAGGTAGTGATACCAGTGTGCATATACATACATAAAAAGAGAGAAGTACAACAACATACATCAAGCAAGCAACAACCTGTCAGGAGGCAACGCTTGGGGCCTCGTCATGCGAGCGACTACGGTCAGTTAGGCCCTATGACGAGATTAAGCCCATTTAAACCGAATTAGGGCGGATGGGCATGGGTTGGTCCGGACTATGCCAGACTAGGGCAGTTTTCGACCACGGGAACATCTGCGTCGATGTTGCATGTATCCTTCCAGGAGTCGCATCCGAAGAGAGGGGGAGAAACCAGGCAGCAAGCCGACTCTCTATGGCGCGTCATCGTCACATCCATCGACAACATCATCAACAGCATGCTGAAAACCATCATCACCAACACCACAACCATGATCATCGCCATTATGATCATCATCGCAACCTCCGCCATCAACGTCATTATCATCACCAACACCACCATCATCTCCGTCATCATCATCTTTACCATCACCGACCATCACCACCACCACCATCTTCATCATCGTCGTCGTCCCCATGAATACCATCATCACCATCATGTCACCATCATCATCGTCATCATCATCATCATCATCATCATCATCATCATTATCATCGTCCTGAACGTCATGAGCATTAGCATCACCAGTAGCAGGAGCAGCATCATCATCAACATCAGCAGCATCATCATCGGCATCATCGTCGCCATCATCATCAGCATCAGCATCAGCAGCATCAATAGCAGCATCAACATCAGCATCACCACCATCATCAGCATTATCGCCATCATCAGCAGCATCATCACCCTCACAAACATCAGCAGCAGCATCGTCCTTGTCCTCGTGCTCGCCATCCTCCTCCTCCGCCACGGCCAACAGCCCGCTGGCGCTGTCGCCCGCCGCCATGGCCGCGGAGGCCGAGAGAGCGGAGGGCAGCGGGAGCGGGCAGGCCGAAAAGGCGCACAGCTCCGGAGGCCCCTGGGGAAAGGTCTTCCCTTGGTATCTGTTCGGCGGCGGCGACAAGAGCGAATAGCCCGGGGGCGAGCATTGCACGCATTTGCTGGGAAGCCTCATCCACAGAAATGGGTCATCGGCGCCCCTGGGCTAGTCGCTAGCATCGTCGCCTCCGCCCTGTTCCATGGGAGCCTGCGCTGCCCCCGGCGCTGTCAGATTCGGACCGGATTCCGACCAAATTTGGAACACATTTGGGAACGGAGTTGGGCCGGCCGGACTCGCCCTTCACGAGGGAAGCGAGAAGAACGAGTACGGGGGAGAGGGACAGGAAGGGCGAGGAGTAGCAGGAGGGAGGGCCAAGTGCGATCCGACTGCTGTCCACATGCAGGAAGACGCTGGCCAAGGCTGACGTCGGATCTCTGGGACGAGGCCCGAGGGTGCGATCGGCCGCGGGGACGGAAGCACGGACAGCCAGCGCGATGGCGCGAGGCAAGGGGCACGGGGAAGGCAGGCAAGCCAGCAGGAGGGACAGAGCAACACGCGCAAACAACAACCTGAAACGTCCGCGGACAGCAGACGTCCGCCGGCGTGCGGTGCGGGGATGGGCCGGGCGCTGTCGGAGATCTGCTGTCGGCGCAGGCTTCCGATTTGCTACCCAACCTTTCTATAGTTTTGGGTTCTTGTTCTGAAGAGACAGAGCCCCGCGTCTCCTCTTACTCCTCCTCCTCCTCCTCCTCCTCCTCCTCCTCTTCCTCCTCCTCCCCCTCCCCCTCCGCCCCCATCTCCCTCTCCTCGCCCCTCCCATCCCTGACTCTGCCCTCTGCACAAATCAACAACTTCGGCACACACCTCCCACGTTTCGTGCCCCCATCTAGAGATACACCCACCGCCCACATGGTGCCGCCCGCATGCATCGAGGGCACCATTTTCGGCACACCCTTCACACGCTTCGTGGCCTCATAGGAAGCTCCACCCAGGGCCCCACATGGTGCCGTCCGCATGCGTATCCGCCACCCATGTCGGCATTTCCCTCACACGTTTCGTGGCCACACAAGGAGCTTCACCGAATGCCCAAATGGTGCCGCCCGCATGCGTCACCGCAAAACATTTCGGCACACCCCTCACACGCTTCGTGGCCCCATAGGGAGCTCCACCCAAGGCCCCACGTGGTGTCGCCCGCATGCGTCCCCGCCGCCTATGTCGGCACATCCCTCGAACGTTTGGTGACCCCGCAAGGAGCGTCACCGAATGCTTAAGCGGCACCCTCCGCAAGCGTTGTCGCCACCCATTTGGGTACACCAGTTAAACATTCAGTGCTCCCGAGGGGAGCTCCACCGACGGCTGGAGTGGCGACGTGTGCATGCGGTCCCCGACCCATTTCGGCACACTCCTCACACGGCTCGTGGCCCCACAGGGAGCTCCACACAATGTCACAATGCCACCGTTCGCATGTGTTCCCCCACAACCATCCCCTACGCTCCGTGGCCCCAGAGGCAGCTCCAGAAAGGCCCCATGAGGAGATCCACTGAAGGCGATATTCACAACGACGAAATTGCCCCTGTGATCCGATCTGGCCTCTGAACCGGTGGAGGGCGCGTGATGCGAAAGCATTGCTCGGAGTCCCTTTGGAGCGGTACGGACGGCTGGCGCGCTGCTGACGGGAGTACCGCCAGCGGGGATGTATACGCACTGAAGACAGGACTGATCGATGTTTAATGGGCATTCTCTGAGCTCATCAGGATCGCTGGGAATTGCCTCTAAAGGGGCGTGACCGCCCAAAAATGGTCCGCTAAAAAAAACTCCATCCTCCTATCCGCGCCCACGATGGATATGCTGCCTCTGGCAGTGACATGGGCCTCAAAACGATCAGTCGATGGAAGCGATGGAAAGCCCAAGGGATGCGCGAATGCGCTCATAAGTTTACTTGTATGGAGAGGGGGGGGGGGGGGGGCGAGGCCCGAATGGAAATCTGCACTTTACGCACGTCGTGACCCACCTGCACGCCGTCTCGGCCAGGCATCGACTGAAGTGGCGGCGGAGGGCGGGGGCGAAGTGCCGCGCGGGTAACCGTGCCAGGGCGTAGACGGCGCGCCCTCTCGGCGAGGCGGGGCGGGGTAGATTTGGACGCCCGACATGGGTACCGAAAAAATGGGTACGATGCCCAACAACAAATGTTGTCCCAAACCAACAGCGGCCGCTGTTGGGCAGGCGGCCTCCCGTCTCAAACGTACACAGGCCGCGGCGACACCGACAGCGAGTCCTGTTCAAAATGAACAGGAACCGCTGTTGGGCATCGTACCCATTCTTTCCGTACCCATTTCGGGCGTCCAAAGTAGAGGTTTGGGGTCTGGGCCGGGGGAGCCGGGGGGGCGGCGGCGGGGGGCAGCAGCCGCGGCGCGCGAGAGAGGGGAAGACAGCCCGCGGCGGGCGCCTCCCCGCTGCCGAGGGTGAACTCCAGCACCTGTGGTGGGCGTCTCTTGGGCCCCTTGAGCATCCTCCTTCTTGTCCTCGTCTTCCTGCTCCTCCTCCTCCCCCTCCCGCTCCTCCTCCTCCTCCTCCTCCTCCTCCTCCACCTCCTCCTTGTCCTCATCCGCTTCCTCCTCCTCCTCCTCCTCCGGGCCCAAATGCCGAGGGTCAGGGAGGTCGGACCATGCTGCCGTCGTTGCTGTTGAGCTCTCTTGTCCGAGTATCCGCCACCGTGGCCAGGGGGGCAAGCAAGCCTACCTCGCCCTTGACCACCCTCGCTCTCCCAAGAGATACCGAGCGGTGCCCAACTGCGGCCCGTGCTGGTCGGGCCGCTCGACGAGGAGGCGCGCGGTGTGGCTAGGTTTTTTCCCTGGAAGCGGAAGCGGGGCAGGTAATTCACGCTCTGAGTGGCCACGAGGCACGGAGCGGGCGTGTGCTCGGGCCCTCCGCCTGAGCCCCCTGCCAGGAGAGCCCAGAATCGAATCGACGAGTCGGATCGGCGATCGAAATGAATCGGATCGGCGGAAATCGGCAGCCGAGTCGGGAAGAGTCGAATCGGCGGAAATCGGCAGCCTAGTAGGCCTTCGTGAAGAACTCTGGGCCAAGACCGGAATCCGAAATCGGAATCGGAAATCATCGAAATCGAAATCGGATCGAACCGGAGGGATCGAAATTGGCCCTGCCCTGCGCCTCCGTCCTCCAGTCCCGGGGAGCTTCTCTTGCGCGGGCACGCCGTGCGAATACTGGCGAACAAGCGAACACTAGCGTGCAGTGCCTTTCGACTTGCGTGATTTCCGCGCCCCCCCGGGTTTGCTTCAGGCTCAGCCACACCCCCCCCCCCGTCCATGCAAGTAAACTTGCCAGAGTTGGGCGTGGCTTAGTGGGGGGGTCATAAATGGGGGGGTCAGAAACGGTCCCCTTTCGTGCCCCTTTCGGGCCCCTCCGGAGCCCCAGGGGGCTCGTTTAGGTACCGTTATTTGGGTACCTTTTCGGACCACCCGCGACACCCCCCCATTTATGACCCCTCCATTACGCAACGCCCAACAGAATTTTAAAAAACAGGCTCCGGCCCAGACTCCCGGGCCTGGGCGCGTGCCCCCCCCCCCCGGGGCCCCGGGAAGAGCGCCGCGTCAGCGCGCGGCTGCCGCGGGGCGCCCGGGGAGGGCGGGCCCGGAGGGCCCCGAGAGGCCCCGCAGGCGGGCCCAGGAGGGCCCCGAGCTGCCAAAGAAGGCGGGCCCGGAGTTCCCCAAGTTGCCGATTGCAGAGAGGCCCGCAGGACGGCCCAGGAGGGCCCCGAGTTGCCAAAGAAGGCGGGCCCAGGAGGGCCCCGAGTTGCCGCTTGCCCCATTACGCCAGAGATGGCATTCGGTCGGGCCTGTCCTCCTGCAGGGGGATCTCGGACGACAAATAGAAAATTGTCAAAAAATGTCAAAACGTGCTAGAATAATAGTCCAGTTTTTTTGCATATTTTTGCAAATTCCTCCCGTAGAGGGACAGGCCCGACTTAAAGATAGCCTCCGCACGGCCCACGAGGCCCCCCAAGGCGCCCCCAGGAGTGCTCCGAGAGGCGTCCCAGGCCCCAACACGCGAGGCACCACTGCTTCTCTTCCGGTGCCTGACGGTGTTGGGCCTGCTCGCCTTTTCGCATCTCCGACGCTCCAGGACGGCCCAAAAGGCTCCACAGATCCCCTCCCGACGACCCAAGATCAGAGCCCCGAATCATCAGGGGTAACTCGGGTCAGGGCTAACTCGGGTTCGTTTTTCGGGAATCCGAACCCGAGTTATCCCGGACCCGAGTTACCCCGGATAATTCGGGCGTCCAGAGCCCCGAATCATCAGGGGTAACTCGGGCGTCCAACAAGAGGGCCTCAGGGGACCCCAAGACGGCCCAAGAGGCCCCAGGCTGGCCCAAGAGGCGCCCAAGACGGCCCCAGAGGGCCCCAAGACGGCCCCAATAAGGGGGCCCCGATGGGGAGCCCGAAAGGATCTTTCGAGCCCTCGGCCTGGAGGGGACCCCAGGAGGCTCCAAGAGGCCCCCAAGAGGCCCCGAAGAGGCTCCAAGAGGCCCCAAAACTGCTCTCAAGAGGCACACATGAGGCCCCTAAGAGGCTCCCAAGAGGCCCCCAAAAGCGCTCCGACGAGAACCGAAGAAGCATCCCTGAGAACTCTGACCCACAACCCAGACACGGTGGCGGGGTGGGCCGAAGGCCATTCGATCCGCCTCCCCCTGTTGGCTTGCCACAAGGGTGCCTGGCAAGCTAGACCTTACCAACTAGGTTTTCGCTGTTTCAAATGAACTCCGGCCCAACGCGCCGGCCGCACGGAAGGAAACGGAAAGCACCTCAACGTGCGCAAAAATCCACCAAGACGGCTTAATATGGCCTCCAAGACGGCCCACGAGAGTCCGATATGCCTCCGAGTCCGTCCAAGGAGCCTCCAAGACGCCCCAAGAGGCTTCCAAGACGGCCCAAGAGAACTCCAAGAGGTACTCCAGGAGGGCCCGAAATGGCCAAACTGATTGACTTCCCGTAGGTGTTTGAAGGATTTTACCCTTTGCTTCTTTTCGGCCTTCCAACTGCTCAAGACTGCCCAAGAGGCCACCAAGACGCCCAAGATGGCCTCCAAGACGGCCTTGAAACGCCCCAAGAGGGACCCGAGTCGGTTCAGAGAGGCATCCAAGACTGCTTCCGACAGCGTCAGACGGGCCAAGAACGCCCTAAGACGGTCCAAGAAGCCCCCAAGAAGCCTCAACAGGCACCCAGAAAGCCCAAGGAGGCTTCCAGGGGGCTCCTCCTCCTCCTCTTCCTCCTCATCCTTCTCAGCCTCCTCCGCCTCCTCTTCCTCCTGTCCTCCTCCTACCCTTCTTCTTTTACCGGCGCGTGTTCCCCGAAGGGTGTTCACAACGGCTGTGGGAACACATGGTCCGATGCTTGGCAGAGCCCCGGACACAACTTTCGGCCACAGGGGCGATTCCAAAAGGCAGGAGGCGGCGGTGACTCGCCGTAGGCGTCTTCGATTAAGTATAATTGATCCCCTCCTCAGGTGCTCATTGAAATCGTAAGTCGAAGTGCCCCTTCCCAGGGCTCGCACCCTGTTTTCTACAGGAGGAAATTCTTGGGCCTGCAAGCTGCAGTGTTGCCCGCCGAACTACTACAATAGCGGCTCTGGCCTGGCGCTTCCTCGCAATTGATTGAAACTCTCGCTCTCGCGCGAGGCTTCCTTTCGATTTACCCAAGACTCGCGCTCTCGCTCTGGACTTCCTCAAAGTTGCTGGGGAATCGTGCTATCGCGACAGGACTTTCTGGTGATTCGTGCAAGACTCACGCTTCAGCGACGCTCTCGCCCGACCCGCCCATCAGGGACCGCAATCGCCCCTCGCTGCCCTCTGCCAGCCTTGGGTGCTACTCGCTGCCCTTCGTTGTCCCCTAATCGTCTTTCGCGGCTCAATCGCTGCCCTCGTGGCCGCCTGGATCCGCGTCGTGGCCTCCCTTCCCGCACTCCTTTCCTCCTCGCTCTCTCTCTCTCTCTCTCTTTTTTCATGTCTCCCTCGTCTTCCTGTTTTAGGGTCTGCGCCGTCTAACTACACGTGGCAGGAAGGGAAAATACGCTCTCAAGAAGGGTCAGATCGAAGAGGAAGAGGATGGGTATCGAGTGTGTGGTATAAGCATGTTGGTTGACACGCGAACAAGTGACAACGAACCATCTTGAAATGAGTGAGCGCTCATTCCAAAACGTCAAATTCTGCTGACCCTCTCCGGTGCCCATTGTCGTCTTTCAATGGAAGTGCCCCTTCTGGGGCTCGAGCCATGTCTTTTACAAGGGACCAGATGGAGAGGATGAGGCAGGGCGAATGAGGACTGTGGACAGGGGAGCGTGCCCCACCTCCTCGGGCCCATTTGCGCCCCCCTTCTCCGCTCCTCCTCCGCTCCCACATCCCTCGTCGATGACGTTCCTTGTGCGGCCCACACCCTCGTACATTACGCAATATTCGCGTCTCCGAAGCCATACAACTGGTAAATTACACTACGTTTGCGAGCCCGAAGCCATAAACCATTGTAAATTACGTTATATTCGCGTATCCGCAGCCATAAACCGTCGAAGTACAACACCGAATTCAAAAATATCATCAGAATCTCAATTTGCCTTGCCGACTACTCATCGTCTTCGCGTGAAGTCCCGACGCTGTTTCATGGCGGAGCCAAGGCCTCATGATTTCGCTAGCCAAGGCCTCATGATTTCGCTCTTGCATTGCCCATTATCCGAGAGAGGGGGCCGGCGGCAGGGGGCGAAGGAAGCCCTTACGGATATGCTGTGTCGTGCCTTGGACACTGAATTACTGATCAAAGGCGGCATCAACGGCCCCGCTGGACTCCCCAAACACTTCCTCCTATGGGTTCCGATCTTGCCCCACCTCCACTGGAGAAGTGCGTCTTGTTTCTGAACATGCGACGCCCATCGAAACAAACCAGACGGCGTCATAACTCCAGGCTGCCTGACGGGCTATGTCAACATCTTTGGATAACTACTGCCCTAGACAATTCCGTCCGTGGATAGCTATCGTCATGGAGGAAGCCATAAACCAATTATCCGAACAGATCTGGATTCCACCATGAAAGTAAACTCGTCCACCATTGGAACAACACGACGACGACGAACATGCAAGCGGGTAGCCTGGCTCGCAAAGCCCGGGACCAGCGCGTCAGCTTGCCGCGCGTCATCCACACTTAGTGTCACCTGGGTGGCTTCAGGCAGCTGGATGGTGCGTAGATGAAAGCATCGGAGGGACCACAACGAGCATGTGCCACCTCTTCGCTAAGCATGGTCGCGGCAACACGACTTCTGACCTGGAAGGTGAAGCAGATAAGCAAGCAATTGGAGACACCTGTAATCGAACTCGTCGTCTGGCCGCCAGCTTGACACTTGATTGGTGCATCTGCATCTGTGCATGGCGCGGCAATCCACAAACTCCTCCTGCTCCCCCTGGCTTCCTTCACCCCTCCGCACCTTCACCGCTAAGGAGATAGGAAAGGTCAAACCCGCGCGCCGAGCCTAGAAACGACGCTTCTTAATACGTCCCAATGCCAAATCCCCACGGCCCAACATCGGTGCGATTCCATCAGCCCGACCAATGCGGATACGGGAGAGTTCCACCGACTTGAATGGCACATCCTGCGTACATGCGGCTCTGTCGAGCCTCGTGCCGCGTCGCGCGGCGTGAAGAGCCCGAACGGGTGGGGCACCATGGCCTGGCCAGCGGCGTCGTTTTCTGGCCCACGCTCCGAGGGAAGGGAGGGTGCAAAGCTGGGGTGCGGCCTCGCCCACCGTAACATCTGCCCTCACTGCGCATCCACCTTTTTCAGCCTCCTGTCGCGCGGCGGGCCAGCTGGTCTGGTGAAGTCTGGTGCAGGTGGAGTCATGCCTGCTTCTTGGTTGCTGGTGGGGATACTGCGCAAGCTGTGCTCGTATATACTGCATACTGCTGACAGGGGGGCGAGACAGCAGCCCGGTAGAATATGGTCGCGGAGACAGAAGCTGACAAGTATCGGTGCCTCGCCGAGATCCCTACGGCGACATGGTGATATCAGGCTGGCGCAACATCATTAGTGCCACGACGCGGAACCATTGGCGTGGTCCAAACAAGAATCAGCCACAATGCGGCTTCGAAACAACGAAAGGGTCTCGTCAAGGCCATGACTCAGATTACGTCCGTCACCAACACCGAATCGGATGCATAACTACCCAACCAATCCCACATACATGAAACACCGGCGACAACTACACAAAGGTGGCGGCACGGTAATGTCGCCTTCGAAGCCTCCGTCGGTGTGGCATAACCCTCGCCATCTCGAGTTCGCTTCTTGATGACGGCACCGTCTTTCCTGAAGGAGATGTCGCTCGTCTCGAAAATCTCCTAAAACACGGGATGCGCAGAGAGACACATGGAGGACACAAACACAGACACACCCACACAAACAAGCCAAAAATAGCGAGCGTGAAATAGCCCTGCGGCTCTACAGACGCGTGTATGTATTTAAGTAGCCTCGCGAATCATGGAGTTCAGGCAGAATGTAGTACACGCTAGCCAACGTGGACCCCATCAGACAAGACTTTCGCACCCTCGACATGCAGTACAAACGTTGCAAGCTTATCACGTGGCCAAAGCTGTGTGGCGCACGGTACATCTGTGGTGCCACCAGCGTTGTGCAAGCTGTGTGTTGAGAGCTATGTGGTGGAAGCTGGGTGGCCACAGGTGTGCGACTCAAGCTGCGAGATGCAATGTATGTGGTGCTGACTATGTAGTGCGAACTATGTGGTGCACCCACCAGGCGAGACGTCCAAGAATTGCCGAAGGGCGGCCGCCGGCTGGAAACCAAGCGGAACAGCAGCACACCCATCCAATGCACAGGGCGCCAGTGAGGCGGCAAAAAGCGGACATTAGGGGTCCCCAAACGGTGCGGTGACAGTCCGTGCGTTCCGTCACCGCACGGTTTTGGGACCTTGGAGACCCCAATCGCCCGAGACATCCTCGGAGAGCGACCCTAGTCCCCCAACCATGCGGTCATTCCGAATCCACACTGACTCACCACACGGTGCTGTCACCGCATCGTCTGGAAACCCACCGGGCACCAAACAAAACCCCGGCACACCCGTGAAAGTGCTGAGCGGGAGCCATCATATCTCCTGATGTGGAAACACTGCTCCGGGAATCCATATGTTCCAGCGACTGCAGTCGTGCGGGCGATCTTCGTTCGAAAAGTGTGGCATACAAAATATGAAACTGAATGAGACTGCGTACAAGTTGTGCGCGCGAGTCCCAAACTTAAGAACTACAAGTGCAACTCGCGCTATGATGTGCCAGAGGATAAGGAACAGCATGTGCCAGAGGACAGGGGAGACAGCACCAACTATGGCGAGAACGAAAGCAAGAGACTCAGGCTTATGTCAAGACGTTGTGCAGAGTTACTTACGCAGGACAAGAGATGTTTCTCTTGAGGTGAAAATGGGCATGAGGAGTTCGCGAGACAACGTCAGCGCCGCCGAATGGACGGCAACCGGACGAGCTGTTTGCAGCAACCGGGGGGGGGGATGTATGTATTCATGTTGAATGGGGCCCGCTCGCGCGGGAAGTTGATGGGAGTGCGCGAGACGACGCAGGGCCCATCGTGGAAAATTGATTACCGAACCCCCCTCCCCCATATAATCTTAGCACGCGCGGTTTGCGGGGTCCGCGGATCCGATTTTTTCCGGTCCCCTGGTTTACTTAAAAAATGAAGCTTTAATACAGGGTACCAATCGGATCCGCCGTAAAAAAAGAGACCGGACACGGATCCAGCTAATCCGAAATCGGATCCGTAAGGACAGAAATCGGATCCACCGAAACAAACACCAAAGCCACATTTGAATCCGCGCGAACTTCATGGGATCCGACGGCGGTTATCTCTTACGGGCCTGCTCAAGACTTCACACCGTCGTTCGGGGCCCAAGAGGGGAAAACTTTCGTCCTGGGGATGTAGCAACTCATGTGTGCAATTATGCGCAGTCTGAACCAGGCCCAAGCGAGACTAGAGTGGAGTTGCCGCCAAAGGACTAATCCCACCACTTATGTGTGGAATTGTTGTCTGGTAGCCTGGCTACTTGGGCAACCCCCAACCACAGGAGGAGAAATTGTCACACACACACACACACACCTGCACCTGTTGAGAAATGCTGGATACGCAGAAGTGTCCTGCAACTTGATGGTCACCTCCACGCCATCGGACCAATCTTCACATGAATAATATTTGGTACACCTGGGACCAGCACTACCATGCGTAATACGAATCACCTTCCCTCATGACATTCATCCCCCTACAACCTCCGATAATCTCTAGACATCCCACTCACGAACAAAAAGACACCGGCCGTTCCGACTTTCCGTGATGCCAAGTACCAGACAGAGCTGTGTTCCTCGGCGAGGAAAAGGGTGATGGATGAGTTGACGACGATGACGATCACGACGATGACCACCATGACCACACCCGCTGCGACAATGATAACTACGACCACGACCACGACCACGGCGACCATGACCACGACGACCGATCGACCACGGCGACGACGAAAGCGGACGACGACCACGGGCACGGCGACGACCACGTACGACGACGGGTGGACGACGACGGACGGACGGGACGGATGGGCGACGACGACCGACACGACGACTGACGACGGCGGCGGCGAACGTCAGCGACGACGACGGCAATTGGACGCGGCGCGCCTGAGCAGGGCCTCCTCGCCCTTCTTCATGCCCTGGAAGGGCGGGTGGCTGCCCGTTGGGCGGATGGGGTAGTGCGTGCGGGGGCCGCGGCGGGCCCCATGCGGGGCGGGGGAGGAGGTCTCCTCCATCATCGTAAAGGGCCCAAGGGCCGACTTCACGGCCTCGGAATTCAGACCTCCAGTCAACACTGAGCCCCCAAGGCTTCTGGACCCTGAGCCACACGTAGTGAAACAATTCACCCATGAAACCCCAACAAATGAGTTGCGCACCCTGCAGGACTGATTCCGAACTCCCGGGGTGGAGGAGGAGAAGGAAGATGATGATGAGGAGGAGGGGGAGCGATCGCCGCTGCGGGGGGCAACGTCCGAGTCTGGAGCCGCCGATCACGCGCCATACGAAGACAACGACGCACGCGCTCTGGGCCTGAACCTGGCTGGTGGCCAAGCACACAGTACACTCATTGAGCATCAGCCAGACACGTACGGCGCTTCCGACGGGTGCTCCGAGGACTCATGTAGCGTTCAACGGGGCAAGACCATCTCAGGGGCCCACCGGAAGCATACAGAAGGCCCACCTGGTCGACGTATAATTGAACTCATGCCCAACATCGCTCTTGTCGTTTTGGTCACCAGCAGGGCATCCAACAGCACAACGAGCTGTTTGAGTCGGAGTCATGTGCATTCGGTCCGCCGTGGGCCACCCTCCAGCCAACAAGTCCATTGGACCCCATGAGACTCTTGACGAGCGCCGCGCCGAGAGCGCGCCAGCGCGTCGTCAGCACCTGACGCTGGCTTCAAGTCGCTCAGGGGGCCGCGCGCTCGAGCGAAGGGCCTCTAGGCCGCAGGGAACGCAGCGGCGGGGGCTCGCCGCGAGAGGCGCGCCCACTGCCACGCCCATGGCGTCCGCATGCTTCGCACAAGCGCGGATCGCCGTCAAGGTTGCCGCCGCTGCCGCCTCCGAGGCGTCGTTGCGCGCCGGACGCTGCTGCCGAGGTCTGGCCCCATGCAACCGCGGAGCGTTGAGGCGCCATCTTCTCGCGAACAGCGCTCCGCGGGCCCTCAAGAGAGGGCGAGGTACAGGCCGAACGACACCACGTCGTTCCGCCAGCTGCGCCTCGGAGCCGCCCGCCCAAGGCGGGGAGGGCCGCGCCGCAGTCGCGGGAGCCGCCGCCTAGCCCTCCTCGCCGTTTTTGCTGCGGGGGGGGCGAGGGGCTCGGCGGCGGCAGCAGGGGGTCTGCGGGCGAGACCCTGCCACCTCCTTCTCGCTGCTGGGCACCTCAGCACCCGCGGGCGGCCTCGCCGTTGCGCCCGCGCCGCGAGGCTGGCCCTCGGCCGCCTCCCCCGCCGGGTCGCCGCCCCGCTGGCCGCCGGAGCCCGAGCCAGCGGCGGCCGCGCCAGCGCCCCGCGCCCGCGGCCGCCTGCGCTCGCCGCGCTCACCAGGCGCCCAGCCGATCCTCGGCGCGCCAGGGCCTCGCCCAGGGTCGGCCGACCACCGACGGAGGACGTCCGCCTCGTACCTGCGCATGGAGTCGGCCATCCGCGCCTGGGAGAACGACAGGCCGCGGCGGCGCCGCGTGC